TAAGGACACATTCTACAGTCCAGTTATAGATTTGATAAATGGGTAGAAAACTTGGTCACTATTGCACTTATTCTGCAGTAGTCTAGAGAGTGAAGGGTTTATTTGTCATCAAATTTCAAAGGTACCAACCAATATGGAAGCCACCTAGACAAATGTGGTTACACCAAACTAGAAGGTTCCCACAACCTTCTTCTCAGAGGTCTGCTTTGGATTTGGGCTCCTCTTTATGTTACCAAAAGGATCAACTCCAACCCACAGGTGGCATTAGGCTTCAAAAGAATGAGAAAGAATAAGAGAGATTTTCAAATATGCTTTTTTAAAAGTCCCTCAATCTTTTTATTTTATCTAGGTAAGAAAAAATTTAAAGGCTGAATGCCATTTAAGTCTATTAAGAAGCTTATTCTAACATAACACACAAAAACACATTGGTGAATTATCAAGCTGACAATGCACTTAGTAATGAGTGAGGATTAATGTCTTTGCAGGAATGTGATTCATGAATAAAAACTGGTACAAAATTAAACTCTGGATATACACAGTCATTTGTAATCTTTAAAAAGAAGACTGTGCTGAGTTGTGAATTATTTTTGGATGGGACTGAGGTAAGAGTCATGGGAATCTGAGGTGAGATGAGGTGTTGGGGGTTAGTCTCATCTGCCTTTTAGGCCATATTTAAAGCTTCTCAGGCAGCTGCTCTCTGCCCTGCCTCTAGCCTCTAAGCCAGACCAACACAACTACATAGAGGTCAGCAACAAGTCCTCTAGATTCTGGCACCTAGAACTTCCTTCTGTATTTCCAATTTGCTTCTCCAGCACTATTTGCACCAGATTCCACATTCTGAGGAATTGTTATGAGTTGCATCTTGTCCTCTTCAAAAGACGTTGAAGTCTTAATCTTTACTACCTATGAATGGAACTTATTTGCAAACAGGATCTTTGCAGATGATCAAGTTGAGCTGAAGTTATTAGAGTAGGTCCTAATCCAGCAGGGCTGGGGATTGACTCTGTAGACACAGGCAGGGACTGGAAGGATGCATCTACAAGTCAAGAAATGCCAAAGCAGCTTTCCAGACACTAGGAGACAGGTGCACAAGATTCTCCCTCACAGTCCTCAGAAGGAACCAACCTGGCCAATACCTTGATCTTGGATCTCCCTCCTCCTGAGACAATACGTTTCTGGAGATTTTGTTTGGTTTTTTACTTTTTATTTTCTTTTTTAAGTACTGGGATTGAACCTAGGACCTTACACATGGTAAGCAAGCATTCTACCACTAAGCTATTTCTCTACCCCCTTTTAATTATTTTTTTTATAATTTTGTTGCTAGGTCTCTCTAAATTGCCTAGGTTATCCTAGAACTTGGGATCCTCCTCCCTCAGGCTCTGCAGTAGCTGGAATTATAGGTGTGCGCCACCACAACTGTTGACTAGGACACTGATTATTGCACCTTGTTATGACAGTCCTTGAAAAATAACAAAGTAATCTTCCTGACCCTGCACCTGATTTTGTCCTTTCTACTTGTTCTCCCCAGGGTTTAAGCCCTGCTGCTAAGAGACTCAGCTTTCCAACTTATCACCCCTCTGTCCGGGTTTTGGCTCCCAGATACCCATTCTCAGCCTGGTCACTAGTCCCTCACACTTTGGCCCAGCCCTGTCTTGCTCTCATGTACTTTCCCATCCTGAGTATGTATTTGTGGGTAAGGAGCAGAGGAAGGGGACTCTGTCAGAAGAGGTGGCGTTTGCCTGAACTTAGCTGATGAGTCTCCGTGGCCTCCACATGCTGTGGGAAAGAGTGGAAATAAGAACTGGTTCTGCTACTAGAAGATTCCGGAAGGCAGTTGCTCCTATGCATTCCTCAGTAAAACCCCCATGTTCAGCTTAGGCTTGTGGCAAAGACTGTATGGGCTCTGTAGTCAGATGGCCTAAGTTTAAAGTCAAATACAGGCCTGGGGATGTAGGGGTTATTCAGTGGTAAGTGCTTATTCATGAAGCCCTGGGTTTTATACTCAGAACTGGGGTTGGGGGAGAGTCAAATATGTGTATGAGACAATACCTGGTACATTATAAATGGTACGTAAGTATTTTATGTTTTTTTTTTATTTTTTCATATCTTAGGGGAACATATATCCCAGGGTTTTTTGTTTTGTTTTGTTTTGTTTAGAACAATCTCAGTTTATACTCATAGTTTTGGTTTAATTATAGCAGCACCACCAAGTCCCTCTCCCTTGTCCCACCTTCATCTCCAGTAACTCAGGAGGCTGAGGAAGGAGGATCATAAGTTAAGGCCAGCCTGGGAAACTTGGCGAGACCCTGTTTCAAAATTATAAAAAAAGGCTGGGGATGTAGATCAGTGATAATGTGCTTACTTTGCATGTGGGAAACCCTGGGTTTGCCCTAGTATGGTGTAAAAAAAGTAATTCATGGTCACTCTATGAGTCAACACCTTATCTAATCCTGAAAGATGAGGATTATTTCCATGGCTGGCCCAACCCCTGCATCAGGATCTGGGAATATTTCTGCTCACAGGCAGGAGCAGATCTGAGACAGCTTGATTTGTGGATGTCCCCAATGAATGTTTACACCATCTCTCCTTCTTCCCAGTCACCACGGCTGCAGAATAGTCTCAGGACAGTTCTCTTAAGTAATAACTGCTGTCCAATCAACTACTGGGAATTAGGACCTCATAAACTCTATACAGGGTGGTGATTGTATAGAGATGTAAGTTCAGTTTAATGAACAAATTTTCCACTCCTTACTAGAAGAAACTCACTTAATTCCACTCTCTTCCCCAGGGCTTCTTTGATAGCTCCTCAAAAATCCTGTATTTTCTTTCATTTCCAATATGCTTTTGTTTTGAGTTGAGACCTTGGGTCAATTAGCTACACATTCTATGCTGGTCCCTTCTGATTCTCCTTTCCTCCCTTCCCCCTTCCTTCCCTCCCTCCTTCTCTCCTTCCTTCCTCTTTCCCTCCCTCCCTCCCTTCCTTCCTTCCTTCCTTCCTTCCTTCCTCCTTCCTTCCTTCCTGTAAGTGTCTATCAGTCTAGCTATTCTGTGGCAGGCATAATTCTAAGCATTAAGGTCTATGGGGAACAAGACAGAAAAAGTCTGTGCCTCGTGGAGTTTATATTCTCATGGGGAGGAAGAGACATAAGACACATCAACAAGCTTTCAAAATAGCATTTTTAGATGAGAAGTTGGCAAAAATTTTCCTTAAAGAGGCAGAAAGTAAATATTTTTGGCATCATGGGGCCCTATAATAATTCAGCTCTGCCATTGTGGTGCCAAATCAGCTACAGACAATACAACTGGCATGGCTATTATGGTATAGATTTGGAATATCCACCCCAAAACTTATGTGTTGAAGACTTGATTCCAAGTGCAGCCATGCCCAGAGGTACAGCTTTTGGGAAGTGATTGAATCATGGTGGCTATAACCTCACCAATGGGTTAATCCATTTGATGGATTAGTAATTTGAATGGAGGACTGGGAGAAGGTGATACCTGCAGGCAGGTGGGGCATGGTTGGAGGAAGTAGATCACTGGAAGGCATGCCATTGAGGACTATGTCTTGTTCCCCATCCCCACTTCTTGGCTGCCATGAGCTGAGTAGCTTTCCTCCCCCATATCTTTCCACCATGACATTCTGCCTCAACCTCAGGCTCAGAGGAGCTGGTCAGCCATGGACTAGAACCTTTAAAACCATGAGGCAAAAAAAAAAAAAATCTTTCCTGCTTAAGTCGTTTGTGTCAGGTATTTTGGTCACAATGACAAAAAGCTGAGTAACACAGCTACGTTCCAATAAAGCTTTATTTATAAGAACGGGCAACAGGTCAGATAGGTCTGTGGGCCATAATGTGACATCTATGTTTTAAAAAGTGATAAATTCCATAAAGAAAATAAATTGGTGTAAATTGTAACTGATAGAAAGAATACCTTAGATTGGATGGGTCATTGGAGGCTACTCTGAAGAGCAAACTCTATAGTCTACCCTATTTAAAAAAAAAAAAAATAAGAAGGAGCTCAAAGTATTCTAGGGAAATTGAGGTGTTTGTTTTTTTTGGGGGGTGGGGGTATAAAAACATTAACAGAAAAATGAATTTAGAATGTCCTAGAAGGTGAAAGGAAGCAAGGAGGGCTTGAGCCTATTAAGGAGAGAGATTGGAAAAGTAGAGAGAGTGGGAGCCAGAGCCAAGATAAGCCCTTTGGATTTGATTCTAGGCAAAATTGGCAGCTTAGAGAATTTTAAGCAAAAATAACACAATCTCATTTAGGCTTTTAAACATTCACTGTGATTGTTGTGCAAAGAAGAAATGATTGAAGTAACCAGAGAGACCTGTTTGTAGCCAGTTAAGAGTAGTCCCAATGAGAGATGCAGTTTTTACTACTAGTCTAAAACAAAAATCCAGCAGAACTTGCTCAGGACCCCCTACACCCCCACCCCCATCCCTTCTGTGAGGGCTCTTTGAATGCAAGCAACACAAACCAGTTCTGAAGGACTGACTTTAAAAGGGTAGGGAAGGGAAAGAATGGGGAAAAATTCAACTTGGGAAAGGACTGGGGTCTTAGAAGAAGAAATGGCTACTAGGAGTGACAGGGCCCCATAAATGAGAGTGAGCATCAAGCTTGAAGAAACCAATCCTTGTATCACTCTGCTTAGAATTGATCTGAGTCCAGCAGGCTGAACTTTCGCCACAGCCCATCTTGGAGAAGGAGGGGTCCAGCCTCTCCACCCACAGACTCAGCAGGAGAGCATGCCATGAGCCAGGTGTGAGTATCCCCATCAGGAAGCATGGGATCTTGCCAACAGGCACAGCGGACCCTGGGGTGGCCTCAATACAGCAAAGATCTTCAAGACACTTTTTGTTGGTGTTCAGTTTCCACTAAGGGGAAACCTCCTTTCTTCCTTCAATTGTTCTCATCATTAAGTTCAGTTCCCCTTTAAAAAAAAAAAAAAAAAGACATGTAGTGGGCCAGAAAAGCATGTCCTGTTTGTCCACTCCCACTGCACACGGCCTGGAGGCCCATGTTCCTGAAATTGCGGCTTTGATCTAATCCGAATAAGTTAGAATGCTGTCATCTAGAAGTTAAGCGTCACCTTGACCCTTCTTCAGCCTCGCACACCCAGGTGGGTACTGCAGACTGGCTGAGTGGCTTGCTTGCTGCTTCCCCAATACAGAAACCTGCTCGTCTGCACCGCTGGGATTTTGCTCATGCTTTTCCCCCACCTTTTCTAAAACTCATTCAAATACCCCTACATTGCTTATCGAGTGTCACTGTAGGCAAGGTACTACACTCCTAAGCATAGAATAATCTCCTACTTTAAAGCGGTGCTTCCCCAATTTTAATGTGCCTTCAAACCACCCAAGGATCTTATTAAAATGAGGATCCTTATTCCCTGCATCAGGGGTGAGGCCTGATACTCTGCATTTCCCTTGAGCTCCCCGGTTTTCGCTGATGTTTCAGCTCGGCTGGTCCTGCTTTCTGTAGCAATTCTTCAAAGTATAGGTTCTTGATGAAGACAACTTCACATGATGATAACTACTGTTTGCATAATGTTTTGAATTTTAAATAGTGGTTCTCAAACATTAATTATCTTATTTAACTCAGAACAGTTCTTAATAGAAATTATTACATCCATTCTTTAAAACATTCTACTCCATCTCTACACATCAGAGACATACAGACATACTTCTGCATATGCATTATGTCTCTGAATCATTTTAAAGTAAGTCACAGACATCTTTATCCCTAAATATTCCAACACTTTATCTCTAGATATTCTAACACATATCTCTTGAGAACAACAACAAAAAAGTCTCCTACTTAATCTCAACACCATCATCATCCACGAGGAATTTAACATTGACATTCTGATATCTAAGATTTAGCGCTAGTGGTAGTTTCCTCTCTGATCCTGAAGTGCTCTTTACAGTTGGGATTTTCTTTTCTAGATTCAGGATCTAATCAACCATCTCATTGCCTTTCATCATAGGTGCTTGGTCTTTGAATATTTTAATGTTATATGATAATGATATATTTGACGTTCTCAGAAAAGTTGTCATGCAAGATGTTTTATAATCTAGATTTCTCTGATTATTATCCCAAGACTAGACTCAGGTTAAACATTTTTATGAAGGTGCTGCATAGATGATGCTCTATATCTCCACTGCATTATATCAGGGGACTAATAACATCTGCTTGCTTCACAGTGAGTGCTGCTAAGCCTTAAAAACCTGATGAAGGTGGCATCCACTGCACGTTTCAATTGTGAAGATGCTTTTCCTCCTTTGTGATTAATAAGTGATATATTGGTAATACTTTAATTTTGAGGGTTTTTCCATCAGATTTCACATCCTTTTCAAAACTTCTTGCTTTTAAGTTATAGATACACAAAATTTTGCAGGAAAAAATGTGCAGGGAGTTCTACTGTACTCTTTACCTACTTCTCCCAGAGTTAGCATCTTGTATGACTATAGTATGATACCCAAACTACAAACTTGACATTGGTACCATTTCAGACCTTATTCAGCTCTCATCTCTTTTGTAAGAACTCATTGGTGTGAATGTGTGTGCATATGTGTGTGTATGTGTGCACGTGTGTGTAGTTCTATGCAATTGTATCAAATGCATAGCTTTATGTGACCTCCCCTATAATCAAGAACCAGAACTGTTCCATCATAACAGGACTTCTTTGTACTTCTCCTTTGAGATCACCATCACTACCCACCACCTTTAATCCGTGGTGACCAAAATGTGTTCTTCATTCCTACAACTTTGTAACTTCAATAGTGTAATATAAATTGAATCATATAGTATATAACACTTGTAATTCACTTTTTTCACTCAGCATGATTCTCTCGTGATTTATTCAAGCTGTGTTCATGAACAGTTTGTTGCATTTCGTGGCTGAGTAGCATTCCCTGCTATAAATGTACTGCCACTGAATGGTTTTAATCAAGCAATGATAATCCTTGCCAGAATCAATTATTACCTTGGGATTTGCAAATTTTATTGTCTACCAATACATATGAAAAATAATGCATCATGACCAAGTGACTTTTTCTAGGAATTCAAGGTTGGTTTGCAATTTAAACATCAATCAACATAATTTAACATATTAGCAGCCCAAAAAAGAAAAGAATGTTACCATTCCTATAGATGCTAAAAAATATTTTAAAAGTTAAATACCTATTTATGATAGAATTTATATCAAATTAGGACTAGAAAAGAAGTTCCTGAGGCTGATATGAAGCTTCTGAAAACACACCTGTGCCGCAGTCTGGCTGGGCACAAAATCACGAGCCACTCACAGCCTTGTAGATTCAAACAGCAATTCTTTATTCCTGAAACTCTCACCGGCACTCTACACGCACATTCTGGGGAAAATCCACACCTCCACCAGGCTCTGCATCCCAAATACTCTCTGAATCCCGCGAGAACTCAATGGTAACTCAAGGAGAGGGTGGGCGCCTGAGGCAGCAGGATACTCCCTATTCCCAGCAGGGTCCACCTTGAACCTGGAACTGCCCTAAACCCGGATCTGCCCTGGTCCCTGAGCAGGGTCACCTTTCTCAAACATTCATGCAATGTCACTGCAAATGACCTGGGTCCAAGGCAAGCCCATTTCCACAATGGAGAGTCCTCCCTCTAAGCAACACTGGGTAGGCTGACAAAGAAATTGCCATGCATCATTCCTACTTGGCAATGGCTCTCAGCATATCTTCAACTAACATCTTAGTTAATGGTAAAAGCCTACAATTAAGCACAAAGTAAGATGTCCATTCACACGATTTCTATTTAACATTTTACTACCCTTAACCTCCGAAATAAGACATGGAAAAGAAAATAAAAGGAATACCAATTGGAATGGAAGAAGTAAAGAAAACTCTTTCTTAATAGAAAATATGTTCTATGTAGAAAATCCCGAGAAAACTACCACAAACTACAGTATGAGAATTAATAAGTGAGTTTATCATGATCTCAGTACACAAGGTATGTATACAAAAATATATAAAGCATATTTACAACTCAATATTAATAAAAGAACAACCTAATAGGAAAAAATAGTCAACAAATTTGATAAAATTTGATAAAAATGCACATGATAAAAATGATATATGTTGGTAAACAAGCCCATGAAAACATGTTTAATATAATAATTAGCCGACAGGGAAATGCATATTAAAACGACAAAAACACAGAACCACACACCCCTATTACAATGGTGAAAATGAAAATCCGTGACAACACCTAGTGTTGGTCAGATGTCAGAGAAATTGGAATTTTCCTATGATGTTCAGGGGAATGCAAAATGGCATAGTTACTTTGGAAAACTGGACAATTTCTTATAATATCACACATATACAGCATTTGCCTGAGAAGTTCTACTCTCAGGTAAGAAAGCATGCCCAAAGACATGGATATGAACAGATGTTCATAACAACTTTATTAATAATAGCAAAAAGCTGAAGTAATTCAAATGTCCATTAACTAGTATGCAAATAAATATTTTATCAATAAAATGAAGGAGACTTAATTGTAACAATTATACAATTGCCTACATTGTTCCAAACTCATCAGATAATGTACTTAAAATTGGTTATTTTTTTTAAAACCTTTATTTTTTATTTATATATGGTGCTAAGAATCGACCCCAGTACCTCACACATTCAAGGCAAGTCCTCTATCAGTGAGTCACAACCCCCAGCCCCCAAATTGGTTATTTTTTGATAAGTAATTTGTAACTCCATAAATCCACTTTATGTAAATGTAGATATATAAAATATATATGTAATAACGTAAATGTAAATATGCTTGGTACTGAGGAATGAATTCAAAGCAAAAGTTGTGGACTTGTAAGTCCAAAGCAAAAACAATATTTGAAACCCTGGGTTTTGCAGGTACCTTAAAGGAAAGCAAGGCTTGGAATACCATCGCCTTTAACAGATAAGGAGACAAGCTCATATGTATCAGTAATTTAAAGGGTAAAATGAGGATCCCATTACCCTATGATGATGATGATGGTGTGTGTGTGTGTGGTGTGTGTGTTCACATGTGTGTAATTTGTACATACAATGGAATTATAATGGGGTTACTGGGTTCCATCTATTAAAAGTTGAATATGCAACCACTTACTTTTTGTAAACCAACCAACCAACCCTTTTATAGGCAGGAAGTATTTAATAAATATTATTTTTGTTCCTCAATGTTCATTTTCTATACATACCATTCTTACCCACATAGACTTATACAAACATAGAAACAATACCCATATCCATGCCATCCTCAAGAGAATAACTTATTAGATAGATGTGAGTATTGAGTGGATAAATGAAGGAATAATCAAAGACAGAATCCAGAGACACATGAAAGATGGAGGGTGGGCAATATGACCAAGACAACCTAGGATTTCTGTGATCTTAATCATCTATTATTTTGTCATTTGATAGAGTTAAATTTGCAGTCTCAGAGCCATTTTAATTATTAACTTTGGGAGCTACATTTGCATTTACAGATATTAATAAATTCCTTGTGCTAATTATTCAAAATTTAACACAGATTAAAAAATATAAACATTAACTCTCTTTGACCAAAACAATTATCAGAGCTCAGGAAAAAAGAACCTACTTAAAAGCATCAGCTTAGCAGACAAAAGCATTTTGGCTGCTGCAGATTTAGAAGCAGCATTCAGCATGGATTAAAATGAGGCAAAATGAACACACACTAAGAATGTGACAAATTTTTATGGAAGTATAATTTTATTCCAGATAGGCAACAATTCTTTTAGAAAATGAAATGACTTTAAAAATCTAGCAAAGGAGCTAGTAATGACTACAGAGCTTCTCATATTTCTTCGAAGAAATTAAATTAAGCCATTTTTCATTTTGATGGGGGAAGAAAAGTAAAATACTCTGAAAACAAGAACATTTTTAGATTTGGAGACAGTAAGCAAGGTCCCTCTCATTTTCCACAAAGATTCCCTCCCCAAGTGAGACTTTGTCATCATGGAACACACGTGATTTTATAGCTGTTATAAACCCATGAATTCTAGTGCTTATGACAGAGAGTCTAAACTGCCTTTAATGATGGTGGCATGAACAGTAACTTGAGATAGTATATGCAACA